CCTCTAGCCCTGTTCAAGGAGAAGACTGGGAGGAGCTGTTTGGTGCTTAAGACGATAACAAGGAAAATGATTTGGATGGATTTTAATGAAAATATTCAGAAATATGGTATCGTAGTATTTATTCAAGTCAATTAGGATAGAATATTATTGTAATACAACAGTAGTGACGATGTGGAGGAGGCGGAGGGATAGAGTGGGGAGGAGGCGGAGGGATAGAGCGGGGAGGAGGCTGAGGGATAGAGCGGGGAGGAGGTGACTGGCGGGAGCAGGGACGAGTGGAGATGCCAGCCAGTACATTACGGGCGTATTAATTGTTTTTATAGCTATTTTTGCATTTTAATGTTAAATACTGTACATTACGTTTCAACAAAACTACCATTTATTACATGGAAATGTAATATTTTTGCTGAAATGATGTACATATTACAGTGGAAAGTGACGAAAGCAATGACTTTCGCTTTCTTTCGTTCAAAAGATGTTACCGTAATCGCTTTTCGAATGGTTTTCAGTTGTGGGATTATAAGGCTAATGATAGGATAGAATATTATTGTAATATAGTACGAGTACAACAGTGTTTTAACTGAAAACCACTCGAAAAGCGATTACGGTAAAATATTTTGAACAACGAAAGAAAGCGAAAGTCTTTCGTCATGATTTTATCCCACTTCCCACTATAATATGTACGTCATTCCAGCAAAAATATTATATTTCCATATTTATTTCCGAGAATATATTCATATTCATTCAGTCACAGTTAAGGTAAAATATACTTGTGATGTAATATTTTAATGAAAATCCAGTATCGTAGTTTTCTCTTGTTTCAAATTTAATTAACAAAGATTGATGTTTCAAATGTAATGAAAAAAAATTTATGTCCAGTATCTATAAATTAACTTTAATAAATGAATACTTTGTTTTACATCGTCCTGTGCTACCATACCATGGATTTGGCTACTTTGGGCTCGCAAGAGATCTACCCTGGCAACTGTACCGACACTCACAGCTGGTGGTGTGTTGGTGCATCGTTTCCATTGTTTACTGGTAGTTACTGGTAAATATTTTTCAACCTAACGAAACTATTACCCGTTTAGAGGTTGACCCCCAATTTTTGCCAAATAATTTGGTCTTAAAAACTTGAACTACACACAGGTATATACGGTAAATAAGGACATGGGGGGCCAGGGATTTTTTAGGGGGGGGGGCAGCAATAGTACTGAATTTTTTTAACATTCACGGGTATCTCTGTTACCTAACCCCTTGAATGTTAAGAGGGCCGACTGGCCACAATATATCCAATGTATGTGTCAAGACTACTAAACAATTCTATGGATGATAGGTTAAGAATGGGTTTAGAACCTAAAAGACAATATATAAGGGTAGATATCACATTTAGAAATCAAAAACAATATACTTACTGCCTAATTCTTTAGGAGAAATGATATGACAGTTGATTCCGTTTAACCAAATACCATTACATAGTCTCTTTGGGTTTATTAACGGCAAGTTCTCCCATTACCTGCAAGTCATTAAGGAAAATGTTGTCGTTATGTACTATCTTGATAAACACTTTTTCCTAATTAAATATCAATACAGCATATCACATTTGACCTATAAGACGAAATTTGAACATTAAAAAAATCTGCCCAAAGTTAGGGGGTCGTCTAAACCACCAAGTTTAAAATTCTTACCTCTTAAATATTGTGGCTTAGTGTGTCAAGAGTGGTGATGAAAACATCGTAAGCCACTCACAAGGTCTTACCACTAATTATTTTATACTGAAACTTACGTTTGGCAAGCTGGATTCAAATTAAGATTACCGGTATATTAAAATAATAAAAATGTATTATAAACCTGTCTAACATACCGTAAAAGAGATTTATACCCCTGTAATAAACACAGCTATCATCATACACCCCTCCCCACGTCCCCCCCATTTGCCAGTGAGGGAGACAAGAAAGGAAAGTGACCACGGTAAATAGCAGACGCTTCAGTGACGTCACTAGTGTTTACACTACACCAGCCGGTAACATTTGATGACATTACTTGAAGTGAATTGGCCTTATTTTAAGTAACTAAATATAAATAAATACAAAAATTAAAAAAAAATATCAAAACTGAGAAATAATATACTGTATGTATGTTGTGTTGTCAAAGTAAGAGGAACAATTGTGTAAGTACGTAATATTTTTTCACTCAAATCCTAATGAAACACTACTGGAGAACATTCCTTTGTCGCAAAACAGTTTATAAATTAAAGAAAATAATTACAGTGTGTTTAATATATTACAGTATATTATAAATAAATGAATAAAACAAATAATTCGGTAAATCTATTTAAAGTAAATGGAAAATAAGCAAACATGTTATTTACCAAGACCCTTCCGTCTGGCTCAGGGTGAGATGGAGGGGAGATAAAGAAGGCTATTTATAGCCCATCAGAAGTACCCTAATGCACCATAAATAATTCATTGAACATTCATTTTTTGTACATAGTATATTCAGTATATATATATATATATATATATATATAACTATATATATATATATATATATATATATATATATATATATATATATATATATATATATATATATATATATATATATATATATATATATATATATATATATATATATATATATATATATATATATATATATATATATATGTGTGTGTGTGTGTAATAAATGTCTGTAGTAAGTACATACTGGTAACCTTTTTCACTCAAATCCTAATGAAACACCACAATTAGAATACGGTGGTTGCTGTTGAATCACATGTTGTATAAATAGTCGGAACACAGCCACACCACCGAGACGAGGGAACACTCCCACCACGCTTCAGTGACGTCACTAGTGTTTACACTCCACCAGCGGGTATAATTTGATGACATTACTTGAAGTGAATTGGCCTTATTTTAAAAAATCAAGGATGGTTGGTAAAGGACTACTGAGTCAGTGGGTAAGTGTCACATTTGGGGTACTGGTCTTATACAGCAAATAGAGCTCAAAAGCTACTTTTTAAATGGAAATTTGGGGGCATCCCATACCCATATAAACCGTGATATATGGTATGCACATTTTGAGGGTTGGAGCAATTAACACTAGAACCTCTATAAAAAGAGGAAATGAAATACAGGTGGTCCTCTACTTAAGAACATTCAACTTACAAACTTTCAGAGATACAAACATCATCACTGAGGGGGGTTACCTGCCAGAACAAGTGTTTAATGTGGATGAGAGTGGATTATTTTGAAGAAAATTCCAGATAGAACAAGTATTACCTAAGTGGAGAAGAGTGAGCCAGGTTTTAAGGCTGTATTAAAGGGTATAGCTGTACTAAATATCCATAATCTTTTCATTTTTTACAATATGTTTGGTATCTACAAGAGTAAAGTTGGACTTACAAACAAACCTCAGGAACGTAACTCGTTGGTAAGTAGAGGAGCACCTGTAGTGCAGCGATAAATGTTCAATGGGGTTAAGCACAAAATAAATACAGTATACAAAACAGAGAATAAAGTTCCCTTTTCACCAGGCATTTATCTGGATCACACAACTTTTACCATTACTATTCTCCTTTACACCTCTTTTTATATTCACAGACAGAATTCTCTAACAACTTTGACCTTCACTAAAAACAAAATTACACAACATATATCTTACATTTTCAGTATAACAGTATATTGTTCAACTTACCTTAGCCATTTTCTCCCCCCTGAAGTGAAATGTGACAGTCTCAAGATTCTTCGGGTTGAACACTTTTACAGGATTTTCTGTGCTACCTTCGTATTCTCTCTCAAGGGCTGCCTTCAAACGTGACATTTCTGTCATTTCTCCATGCACCAAAACCTTATGAAAATTATCAAAACTTAAAAAAATATATACAGTAAATATGTATACAGAATATATGTAAAACCCAATAAATTTCCTAATACTGTATCTAAATTACAGATTATACCTCCCTGTCACCATGCACATATGGAAAATGCTTGGAAATGTGAAAATACAGAACTTAAAATTAGGTGAGAGCAGATATGGTACAGTAGTTACTTTGATATTCATGAATACAGTATACCCATAACCATTGAATGTCACTGACTATTGTCTGTTCATTCAAATTTTCAAATGAGGCCTAGAGTTGTTTGTAGCAACACACCTGATTGACTGAAACGAAGACGTGTAAAGGGTCACTCAACTGAGTCTTATGAGTGAAGAGAGTTAAAGTTAACTTATTTTATTTTATTGATACATGGATGCCCTTCTTAACATAATGCTGGGGAAATGAGGCTAAACTTTTTCATCATGTTTGTACTCAATTTACAAGATTTTTTTTTCATATGCTAATTTTTGCTTCCCAAGTGCAAAAATTATCAGGGATGATCATAAAATACTTATTATCCCTTAAAGCAACAAAATATAAATATGCGAGGTTAAATACTAAAGAACTGTAGAGTGACCTGTTCCATGTCCCTCCACCAGCCAATCAGCTGCCTTGCTACAAACTAGCCCTAGGCCTCATTTACAAAGTTTGGGTGAACAGAGTAGCAACCCCTTGGAATTCATATTCAAACACATGAAACATCAGTTATAATAGAATTCAAGGCTGTCAAGTATTTCCAAATTTCAGATGGAGAGTACTGTAATAATATTGTCAAAATTTGTTACCACATTTGGAGGTCGAATAGTACGGATGAAGTGTGAAGTCTGCTCAAAGTCAGTGTGGGCAGAGAAGGAGATGTATTCAACAGAACACTTCATTGGTAATCTCTGACCTGACATAGTAGTCACTTCCTCTGGCTCCTTTAATATTTCTTTGGCCAATGTACCTTCCACACAGTAACCTGAAATTATAATAAATATACAGTAATGTACATCAATTTACAAAAAAATTAAAATAGACTATAGTAAACCCTCGGTATAATGGACACCATACATCACAGAACCCAGTTATAACAGACACCCTAAACCTATAGGACAAACCTTCAGGATAATGGACAGGAGTCCATTATTCTGAGTAGTTGTTTGATAGTTTGTCAGTGCATGTAATGAAGAATAAGAGAAGCTGAAAATTACTGAAAAACCTGAGCAATGAACAACCATTATCACACATCATGCATTTTTCTACTCATCACCACACTTGTTACTGTTCCCCTAAACCTTATGTGAAGCGGACCTTACAGCGAATATGAGAGCTGCAGCTAGCCTGCGCAATTTGAGATATTACTGTAGGGTGTCATAATTTTTCTTAGTGAATAAGTTGGGTATGCTTTGGAAATATCAAATAGGGGTGTTAAAATATCAATTGCAGATAAGCGAGGTTGTGAATAGCATGGTATTCCTGTACAGTACTGTACAACGTATTTTGTTTCTATTATTGAAGATGTTATATTAATTATGATGAATCATACACCATAAGAGGCTGATCAAGCAAGAAAGTAATATTAAATTCATAAAAAATAAATAAAACTTGGCCAATACAGCAACACACAGTCCCCCCCACCACCCCTAGCCTGTTTACATACTCGTATGCAGTGCCTTATCTCTCATACAGTACTTAGTAGCTCTCGTTAAGCCTACAGCAAATATGAATCGACCAATGTAGAGTATTCAGTGAACAAATGTTGTTCTTTTCATATGATTTTTATATTTTATCCATTTCTTAAAATAAGTACTCTACACAATTTTCCCATTTCTTAAACACTCAAGTATCCCCGTTAAAGGCAATACATTGTCTACAAAAAAAATTAACAAATCAGTAAAGATAGGGATGAGGCATGGCACACTCATATGATATGTATGGAGCCAAGACTCAGACTGAGGCATGTGCCACACAAACACATAAATTGTCCAGACTGATGCTGGATTTTCTGGATTTTTTAATTTTTTTTATTGATATTTCTGGTGAATAGCAGCGCAGTCCAGAGCACTTAAGAGAGTCCCCAAAATAGTAAATTCCAGTGTACTGAAATACCTGCATGGTGTATAAAAGTAATACTGTACTAATATTACTGTATATTGTGTTTCATTTTGCTTCACATGTACATTATATTGAATTTTATAAAGGGTAAATCTTAAAATTTAAAGAGCTAAATTTTTGGTGCACAGCAGAGGTAGCCACAGATTTGTATTGCACAGTTTAAGGGTTAATAAACCATACAGTCCCAACTTAAGGTAATTATAAGAGACATTAAAAGTGCTCACACAGCTATACGCACCTGCAATTATGACTCCATTTTTAGGATCAGGACACCACATTTCAAATAATTCCCGAGAAAGTCCACTCTGCATCATACCTGGTGAAGCCATAATGACACATGGCCCAATATCCTCAAACTGGTCCATCCCCTGAAAAACATGTGAAATTAAGTCAAAGAAACAGAGCATTACATTGTTATGGTCAGATGACAAAACCGAGTTCAGTAAGTCAACATCTAATTAATGAGAAACCTGAAAATCTTCCAACATCCTTCAACACACCATAGACAAGTATTTGCACTGATAAAATTTAGACAACTACTAACACTCATTAGAGTTCACAACATAAAGATTCATAATTCTTGTAACTCAATATACAGGTTTATGTATACAGTATAATATGTATAGTATTTTATTTTTGGAGATATGGTGAACAAAAGCTTTTTAAGTGACTTAATCCTGGTGCACATTCACACAATAAGCAGCAAACTCTAGCCTTATCTCCACTTACAGGGTGATCACAACACTGCTTAAGATACGAATACAGGAGGTCCTCGTTATTCAAGTCATCAATATCTGTGGTTTCAAATTTACGAGGTTAAATTATTATTGAATTACTGTATGCTGTGCGTAAAAAATCCACACACTCAAGAGGATTACAATGAGTACCATAATATCCATGGAGCACAAAAGTCTAATCAGAGAACGAACCAAATCTCCCGCTACACCTCCCGCAACCCCCATCATGCTCATCCCCCATACCCATACTGCGCACTTGCTCTCATTCATACGCTCACCATAAATAATGCCTAACCTTCCGTGATTTTCTACTGTTTTTCATATGCATTCTTGAAAAATCATTGCTATTAAGTTAAGGCGTTAATTGTAAGGCGTTTTAGATGTACGGAATAATAGCTACAGTATTCTATCTGCGCAGACACTTCTGCGCATGACACTTGGAGAGGGAAAAGCAAACACCTTGATCAGGCGTTAGCGTGTGCAGCACCCAAATAGCTAACAACCGATCAGCGAGTTTCTCCCACTAAAACAGTGAGTAAATACGCAGATCATGGCTGCTTATGGAGAATATTTTTATTAATATTGAAGAGTTGGGGGCATGTAAGGAAAAAAAAAACTGATACAGGTTGTACCTCTCTAGTCCGGCATTCTGTGGTCCGGAATGCTTTTAGTTTGTCCAATAGGTAGATAGGCAGCTTTTTTTTTTTTTTTTTTTTTTTTTTACTTATCTGAATTATTATTATTATTATTATTACAGGAGTATTAAATTTTCGCCCCTCAGGCCCCAATGTGGGTCAGTGACCTATGCCCGGGTGGGCTAATCCCCGTAAAAAAAACAACAACATAGCCGCGTGAAATTAAGGTTTGTTTACATCCGGCAGTTCGGCTGCTCTCTCTCTCTCTCCCTGCTCTCTGCTTGTCTATACAGAGTACAACATTTAACCCTTCAATATATACGAGCAGTAAATAAGTGTTGCTTTCATATTCTTATGTAGAGTAATGACGATATGTTTTCACATGTGCACACTTACATACGCGCAGTCTCACTTTTTTTCTTTACCATTAATGGTTAGCTACTTATATTGTCCCATTAATTAACATTAAATAACATTACTTCAAACAACCATATTAATTTTTTTACATTAATTTTACTACAGCTACAAACAGGGTCTTATTTTCTTCAGTTTTATATGTAGAACGAATCAGTCACTGGTTTTGTAAGCATTAACGAAAACAATGCCGGCAGCCGTCTCGTCTCCTCGTGTGTTTTAATATTCCACGTATTATTAATGAATTGTATTGTTCATTTTGCACACACAAACATAAATTCAATAAAAAAATTCAGAAACATTAATTAAAATATATATGAACGGTAAGTAAGTGTTGCTTTCATATTCTTATGTTGAGTAATGACGATATGTTTTCACATGTGCACACTTACATACGCGATCTCTCTTTTTTTCTTTACCATTATCGTTAGCTGCTACTATTGTTCCAGTTATTAACATTACTTAAAAAAACCATATTAATTTTACTACAACTACAACCAGGGTCTTATTTTCTTCAGTTTTATATGTAGAACCAGTCAGTCACTGGTTTTGTAAACAACGAAAACAAAGTCGTCTTGTCTCCTCGTGTGTTTTAATATTATACGTATTATGGTGGGCGCTGTTTACACGATTGTGCACGTCTGAACGTTGGTGAGCCGTTCAAACCCGTCGAAATTCGAGTTTCCGCCGTCAAAATTTTAAATTATTTTCTTTTTGTGTGTGTTCCAATAAAAAACGTTGAATTAAAAACTCACGAAATTTGAGAAGCTACTGTACGACATTTAACCCTTCAATATGTCTTCAAAGAGACCATGAAGCAGAGAAAGTGGTGCTAGTGCTTCCAAGCATAAGCACAAGTCACTATCTATCCAGGAAACGGGTGAATTTCCATGGTCTGGAAATTTCTATGGTCCGGCACCGGTCAGGTCCCGAGGTTGCCGGACTAGAGAGGTACAACCTGTATAATAATAAAAATAATTCTATAAACAGTAGTATATTGGATAGGACTTAAAACAAAGCGTATGGAGAGAAAGAATTGAAAAGGATTGCACCTAGTTGAAACCTGTTCTGGCTCCGCCCGTTTTTAAGTGGCCGCTGTCCGATTTCATTAGCCGTTGGTGACTTTGGTGTAACAATATTGATAATTACTCAAATATGATTGAAACCTTAATATCATTACTCATAAGATTCTTTAAATGAGGTTAAATAAGTTAATTACAGTTCTGTAAGGAAGTGCAAAAATTAAAACATACGAACCTGAAATTCGTCGTATTTCTTGTATAAATAAGCAAATACCTAGCCGCGCGAGACAGTAGTGTGGTTTCAAAGTCTGGGAGAAATTACCTTTACAATGGGCCAGATTTTTTGTGTTATTCTGATTTATTGTTGACTGATTGGCTTTTCTTCCATTTTTCTTTCTTTCCATAATTTTCTATATATTTTCTTCACTATTTCTTTCCGTATTGTGTTCAAATAACAGTTCTCCTAATTTTATTGTTTTCTGAAGACTATGTTGTACAACAGTTATTCCCAAGACGCGGTACAATGTCGTATTTTTTAATGACGCCTTTAGTCATGAGTTCAAAGCATAATGCGTGCCATCTCTACAAGGAATCGTAGCAGCTATGGCTGGACGTTAAATCAGATGTTATTCATCGGAAGACAAGCTCTTCAGATTCCCGAGTATAAATGACAATAAGTATAAAAATAACCCTAATCCCATTATTTCTTAAGGCCAGAAATTCCCCAATTTAAATGGTGATTTTCTGGTCCCTATTAGCCTCAGACAACAAGGACCTCCTGCATCACACATACAAACATAATAAATCTTTAAACATCATTTCTTCGCAAGGTACTTACCTTTAGGTTTGAAATATGCTTGAACTGAAAAGGATTACTGATAGATATCTGTCGCTGAATCCTTTCATTCATAGCATGTGTATAAGTTTGATAGACACTCATGCACTTCTTGGCAAGAGCTGAGGCATAATAGATGGGTACCTCATGTAACTCAGGGTGTAGTTGCCAATATTCATCTGTAAGATATAATCACATTTAACTTTAGGGACCGACATCCAGGTCGTAAGTTGAAATGGTCGTAAGTCGGAAATGCTTAAATAATGCATAGAAAATCTAAAATGGGTCTCTCTTTTTCTTCTCGGCACCACAAAACACTCACTTTTAAGCTTGTCAGCCATTTTAAAGTGAATTACAAATGAAAATTTTGTCTGTGTACTGACTTTGGGACTCGAAAATACGTAATTTGACCAAATTTTGGTAAGACTGAGGCAGGTAGTAAGTGCGGGTGGTCATAAGTCGAGTAGGTCGTAAGTCGGGGAGGAGCTGTGTATATATACTATACTGTATGTATATACAGTCATGCGCCGGTTAACGTCCTAGATACGTTCTTGGAAACGTGATGTTAACCGAAATGGACGTTGTCCGATCATCACATAAACTTTGTATTTATACTTACGTGTATGTGGAATACTATATACGTACATATACACTTTTACTCTTAAATCACTACTGTAATGTGATACAGGTGATTAATTTTTATCTCGTGCAAAATACATGACTTTATATTAAAATTATTCACTGTTTTACAAGGATTCCAGCAACGCCAAGCAGATGGGGGGAGAGGGTGGGAGCTAGCGAGGGGGCGTGGGGGGAGGGGAGGTAGTACGTTTGACAGTTGGCACAGGCCCAGGTCTAACGCGTGTATATTTATCAGTTCTTAGGTGACTAAGCTTCTCTCTTATAAAAAGCCAGTGAAATGACCTGGGTGAATATAATTTACATTGCTGGGATTCTTGTAAGATAGTGATTAATTTGAATATAAACATGTTATAATTTGCACTAGACAAAACAATTTTAGTACCATAATCAAATTAGTACAAGTACACTCCAGCTTTGCACTAAGGTCATTTATTTCTTTTGTGTTTCTTTTAGTATGGTGTGTGCATGTAAATGGATGAAAATAAATGAAGAAATGTATGTAAATCTACCCAAAAATACAGTTGAAAAACTTTATATTATAAAATGTACACTGATGTGCTACAATATTCTCCTATAGTCCGAGATATTATATGAAAAACTTAAGGCCTAAAACCCCCAGGGGGAGGGGAGCAATATAATTTGACAGTTGGCACTGAAGGCCAGCGTGTTTATTTATCATTCTTTAAGAGTGACTAAGCTCTTCTCATAATTTGCCACCCAAATGACCTGGGTGAATATAACTTACATTGCTGGGATTCTTGTAAGATAGTGATTTATTTGAATACCTGTATAAACAATCTATATTTGCAATAGACATAACAATTTTAGTACCATAATCATTTAGTACATGTACAACACAGGTTTGCACTTAGGTCCATTGTTGACCGAGGGACCATTGTATTGCAGTGTACTTGTTCTGTACAATATTGACTAAATTCACTAGATAACATACACAACTAATGGTTGGTAAAACTTGTCAAGTAAGTGAGTGTCAAGTCTGTCAGTATGAGTGGCACGTGTGAGTGCTTGTGTCTCCCATCATAGGAGTCCGTTTTTTCTCGCTTCAGGATGCCTGAGTCCTCTGTTTTCTCTCTCTTAATCAATTAAGTTTGCACTAATAATTTGCTTACTTTAAGCTTAATTTTTCTTTATTTTCTTGAGAGTTACACCATTACAATGATAATTAATAATTAAATAGCAAAAAACTAAACTGAACATACCCAAAATCAATAGAAGTTCCTGTGCTCGGCCAAGAGCAAATACAGGTATTAGACAGCGGCCTCCTCGGCCTACAATTGTATGAACTGTTGTAGTGAAGCGTGATTCTCTACTCTCACGGGGTTCATGAATGCTGACTCCATATGTTGACTCAATCATCAAAACATCTGGTCGAATCTGTGGTATTTCTGCCATCATAAGGTGACGGTCCTCTTGCCTTGAAAAGTCACCAGTATAGAGGATCTAATTAAGAAAAATGTACACTAGCCATAAGAAATATTTTATCTGGTTGTTAAATAATTATATCTGAACATTATCTGTTTAACAAGTGCCTGCCACTAAAGATGCTAGAATTCCCACTAAAGAAAATTAAGCAACCATAACCCTGAACAACAATAACTGAAATTACTGTATTAATTATATATCATACTTATCCTTGATCTTGTTGGGTACCAAGCTTCTTCAAAATTTACTACTATCTATTTGAGTTATTACTGTACTTGCAAAAAATTGCATGTACACATATGCTGACACACCGTTTTGGTGTCATGCCATTACAGTAGAGAGGCAAAGGACAACAGACTAGCAAAGAATAGGGAAAACAAGTGATTAGAGTTGAAAAGTTACCATTATAGTGCCAAATCTCCCACTGCACCACAGCAAAGTCTAAGTAATGAAACCCACAACACCTATCCATGTACAGTGGTCCCTCGGTTAACGAACGGTTCGATTAACGAAATTTTCAGTTAACGAATTAGCTCCCACAAGGATTTTCAGTTCGATTAACGAACAAAACTTCGATTAACAAAATTCTTACGACAAACACATTTTGTTGAGCGCATCAGCTGATCGGCTAGTCCGCCAATACATTAATTGATTCTATGTTTACATTCGTTTCCAGTGAAGTAAATATCAAGAAAGTTGGTCTCTTGAATATTTCTGCATTTTTTATATTAAAATTATTGGTCATTCTGAAATTTAGTTAACATATTGATAATATAGACAGTACAGGGAACAGTTTTTGTGCAATGCTTATTATAATGCATCCTCAATATTACCTTGTAATTCAATTGACAGTAGGAACATTATAGAATCTAGTCTCATTAAACATACCGAATCAGTCAACATGAATTTGAGTAATGGTATGTACAAACTGGATAATGTCGTAATTAAGAAGATTTGTAACCAGGTGAGAAGATTGGGTCAGCTTACCCTCTGACCTGACTACCGACTGCTGCGGTGCTTTTTGAAGATTAGTAGGGTCATTACCTAATACCTGACCATTGTGGACCTGGTCTCACCCTCCTCTGTATATATACACCTTGTTTTGTACTTCTCCTTAGTCTGTACTCACCCCTGAAGATGTAAATTACACAAAAGCGCTTGGGAACTTCGTGTTTTCTTTTTTCCTTGTGGTTATCAGCATATACCTGGATCACGCGCACCCACGGTGATTTACTTGTGATCGGACGTTGTTCGGTCAGACGTTAACCAGCGTGTGTGTGTGTGTGTGTGTGTATATATATGTGTGTGTGTGTGTATATATATATATATATATATATATATATATATATATATATATATATATATATATATATATATATATATATATATATATATATATATATATATCAGTTTCGGTGTACAGTACTGTATTGCATTATGTTTTTAGTGTAGGCTAAATGTACAACATATGTACATGGTATAGAAATCTTAAAAAAAAAAAATTACCTTTGCTTAAGGCTGGACATCTTCATTCCCTTAGCTGCAGTCTTCTTCCCCCACTGTGTGTGTGACTTGATGTGCCCATGCATACTTTTCTGTAGATCGGATATTTTTCAGTATTGGCTGATTGCTCTTTAGAAAGGTATAGACGTCACTGCAAGATGTTTCTCGGAAGTTATACTGTACAGTCAGAATGCCTTTCATTGTTTCAACACTCAATTTGTTCCTTTCCTTTGTCCACTGACTTTGCATCAGTGAAAAAACTCTTTCTACATTTGCATTGTGAGATGATACAGCAAAGAATTGTGCAATTCTTATCAATTTTGAGTGGCATTCAATGTTCTTTGATTTTTCAAAGTATCTGGTCCACTTTTTATGTTGGCAGACAAACCCACAACAAAGACTAAGATCAAACACTGTCACTGCAGTCTGCAGGTTAATGACTGGCCAACCACCGGTCACCATCATAGTTGTCAATGTACGTAAATAATATAGCGAAAGTCCCTAGATTATGGTTGAAAATTGCTAAAATGCCTTAAATGCAGGACAAGAAAACCAAATGCTACAGTGTAAAAAAAAGCCATAAGAAAAAAATGGTATACTCTCAACATTTCATTTATGGCTGTAATAGCACTAAATACAAAAAAAAATTATAATAGTGAACCTCACTTTACGCGGTCAATTGAACCCACGGGCGTCTGCCAGAAAAGTGAAACAACATAACATATGGGATTAATTGAAATAGAGACCAGGCCGCACCTCAAACTCCACTTTTCAGACACAACACCTACGCTAGTAAAAACAACTTTAATTTTATGATGGTATGCACAATAATAACACAATTAAGAGAAATATCAATAATATTAGGTTTTCTAACACTTACATTAGTAGAAAAGATGGCTGGGCACACGGGAATGGGCGGTTGGTTCCGAGGCAGAGGGCAGATTATTGGCCCCCACCTGTATCACTTGTATCAATTGTATCACTATCCACCATAGAGGCTTGCAGGGCCTCTTTGTCAAACCCCTCAAAGTCCATATAAGTCCATATCTTCACTATAATTATCACTATCACTGACTTGGGCCGGCTGTGGTGGGTGGCGGTGAAGAACTCGGTAATGTTTTGATGATTAGCTTACCCAGCGCATCTCTGCTCGTGGCCGCCTTCAGTAAAGGGGCACACGCGACCATGAAAGTGAGCAGCATTCCGTGGTTTCGGGCAGGGTAACGCAGAACGTAAAACACGAAGTGGGACCGCAGAAAGCTAGTGGGTTGACTGTGGCCTGGCTGGAAGAACAAGAAAAGAAAACATGGCACTCACATGCTAGACCCAAAAACTGCTAGCAGCTAAGTTGACAACACCGTACAGGCGTACACGTGAATTATCAGCTGACGAAAACTGAAAGAGATCTCTACGGTTTCCACCTCTCCTCTCTCACAGTCTCTCTCTCGTCATTACAGTTTCATGATTTTTTCCGTGGAGAAAATGATGGAAGCTGAAATTCCGGACTTTTGAAGAATTTTAAAATTGGTTCGATGAAGACTTTTTGAGATCTGAATGGAGGACATGTCCGAAAATAATGGACACTTATGGCAACCCTAGGTAATACGACATACACACCTCAAAGTAAGTTAAAATACAGTATTCTATTGTTTTTTATTTATTATTTTACAGTGTACTGTACAGTACAGTACTGTATTTAGTTTATATTTAATGTTTTGTTAATTCTATTACTGGTATACAGTATTTTGTATGTACATTTTCTGTGAGTTGGAACCAATTACCCAATATCCCATTGAAATAATAGATTCGGTTAATGAAGAACGACTCTGTGGAACGAATTGTGTTCGTTAACCAACGGACCACTGTACTTCTTTGACCCTGTTGGTAAGAAACTTCCATCAACAATGTGTAAGTGTGGGTTGTGATTCAGTGAGGTGAGAAGCCGGAAACAGCCCCATAAATAATGTAATTCACACAGCATTTTGGTGGAAGCATTCAGCACCTTATCAAAAACCTCCAATCAAATAAATGTTTCTATGTCTATCTGCTGTTTTCAGACTTTTTTATTATTACCTTTAAGGGTCACATCGGAAGCACAGCTTTGTTTTTACTTAAGGGATCAAATAAAATATGAAGCATTTATTACAGATAAGATTATAGTTACCTTTACACCAGCAATCTGAATCATAAA